GACTCGGTTTCTAGTAAACCTTCTGAAATAAGCTATCCCGGGTCAGGCACAAGCCCAATTTTGGGTAGTGATTATCCTAGCCACTATTTGGTCCGACTATAGTTACAGGATCGGATATCCCAACCTTAAGGAGATAGTTACCATAACACAAATAGAAATTCGAATTTTCGTCACCGGTGGGATTCGAACTCTTGACTTGCCACTTGGGGGGTGACAACTTGACCACTTCACTAAGTCGCCACACCCTGATCAACTTCATTTTTATATGTTATCTTTTGTTAAACTACTATAAAAACTATTGATATGAATGACCCGGATAGATCAAGTACTACTTTGTTCAATGATAGCTCAAAACTTTTATCATTCAAAATTTGATTATACTCTAATTTGGATAATTTTGATATTTTAATATAACACTTTCAAATTCAAAGTTCTTGTATCTTGGATCAATTGCCATTGCAGTAAATAATATTCTATTATCAGAAAACTAATTATAAATAATATATTTAATTTAAGTAATTAAATAAACAATTCTACACAATGCTACATCCAATATCTCTCTAAAAAAGTATTTTTTTAAGTAATATCTAGTACTATTTAATTGTTGTATCCTGATTAGTGTCTAAATTAATATATAGAAAGGGTAAAGTATATATTAAAAAAATTTTTGCACCTTAATTAACAATATATATACAAAGTATACATTAAAATTTTAAATTTATATATATTTTAGATTTTGTAGTACAGTATATATATATTTTTTTTTAGATATTAAGGTGACCACTTTGGGGTCTGATATAGTTTATTAACTTCACAGTTCAATTATCAGGATGCTGAATAGGTACCTCTTAACTTTGTTATATTAATGAGAATACAATTGGTTATATATACAACTTTAGTTATTGTCTAATTAAAAGCTCCGCTATATCTATTTCTATCTATAGTTAGCTATAACTAAGATTTGCTTGTAGATCCCCTATTTAAACCTTCTGATCAACTTAGTGCTATCAGATGCTTTCATCGGAAGAATTCCTGCTACTAAAACTCCTTAGGACTACTTTATCCTCATAGTAAACTTAGTGCAGCATATTTAATTAGATTATATATTTATTTGTGCTATTTGTTTTATTGTACATATTTAAAAAAAATTTGTGTACGCTGCAGCTTACAATTTAGATTCTGAATTTTAGACATTGATCCTAATACTAATCAAGAAGTAATTTATTATATTTCATAATTCAAATCAATGATTTTGTCATATAATTAATATTAATACTCTCTTCAAAGTACTACCTTTCATTTAGTACTCTTTATATAGTACCTGAGATATTATTTAATTAATCTTGATATTTTTAAAAAAAGACCAGAGATATTATATAAAAAACTAGTAAATGGTTTGAAAGTTTACTTTATAGTATTTTATAAATAATTTAGCTATTATCTTTTTAATACATTTAACCAATTTATTAGTCATAGCAGGGAATTTTATTTGTTCTAATTCTTTATCTTCTGATGCTTTCTCATCAAATATATTAATATTGTCTGTGATATCAAGATCTATTTTATCTAAAGTATCAATACTGATATCTAAAAATTCTAAAAATTCTTTTAATAAAAAATTATAAAGAGAACTTATTGTCAGATAAATAATACTCATCGTTGAGTATAAACTTCCTGAAATATAATTTGTTATATCGCTAAATGGTTTTAAAACTTCAATAATATCAGAAACTATAGTCTATTTATTCTCTATAATTATAATTAATTTTAGATATTTTTTATTCTCGATTGTATCTCTTTATAGCTAAACAGTTAGTGAACTTGTGAGTATCTTAATATAAGGTTTAAGCTTAAGCATTCGAACCTATGTATTATAGGTAGAATTCCAATAGGTTTTCATATCACTTTGTGCTATAAAAAGATAGTATTCTCCTTCTTATTCTATATATAAAACTGATGATTTTAGTCTAAATCATAATACAATATAGCATGAGCAGCCTGATATTAAAAATCTAAAATCATTATCTAAAAGTTTAATTGAAAAAAATTTTAAACAAAATCCATAAACTGGTATAAACTAATTTCATTAATAACTATCTGTCAACAACCATTTTGCTAAAATTATCTGGATTACCAAATCATATTGTATACAGAAAATAAGAAGATAAAATAGAAATATTTAAATAAAGTTTTTATAGGGTATGAGTGGCCTGATTAATAGTAGTATTGGCTAGAATAGCTAAAAGTAAATTGTTAGCAAAATTGCTACTAACAAATTCAGACAAAGCTTAACAAAAGTAAGACCACTCCAAGTCAACTCTACCAGAAGTTTAAACACTTTTGCAGTAACGTAATATAGCGTATTGTAACATATTTGGATATGCTTTTTTGGCTTTATATTATATTTTCGGCTAGAACTCATAGTTATAGACCTTAAAAGACTATTTTTTATATATAAAATTATGTGCTTAACATTTTTTGTCAGTGACCAAAGGCTAATTTAAATACTAATTTTTGAGTATTTTTGTTTTTTTCTCTTTTTTTTCTTCTTGCATGTGTGTTCAACTTCAATTCTGTGAAAGTAACAATTATCAACTTGAAGCATTCCATTGGCATTTCCTATTTCATCAAATAAAATTACAATTTTAATAAACCCTTTCGAATTACCTCTTTTTGCAGAATTCTTAATAGTTCTCAAATACTTTATTCATATCAATTTTGACTCTAATTCTTGTTTTAACATCAGGCTAATTCAGAACAACCAAAATTTATGCATCTGATTGATCATTTCTTATGTATTACATCACTTTACTGCAAAAGTAGACTTCTGGTAAGTTACTCGAAATTGATTCTCTGTTTAGCATAATATGAAATATCTTATAAAAGAATGGGTATAAAACTATAAAAAATATAATTCTATTGACTAAAAAATATAAATTTTACTAAAATACACCTATGGTATTTTATATCTATGTATATATTATCTCAAAAACTGGCTAATTAATCGATATGAGATATTCTAAGTAAAAATATTCTACGCCCCAAAAAACTCTTCTCAAACCCTAATCCTAACTTTAATATTAACTTTAATATACAAAATTAAGGTTAAAAATTTTATATAAAAACTTAAAAAATTTTAAAAAAATATAATAAAAACATATGATAGATGAAAATCACCATAGGTATATTTTATAATTATTCAAAAATATAAAAAGCTAATACAGCAACTTGTTAGTATTAATATAATATTTTTTATTAAAATTTTTAAAAAATAGAGAGGGTGGTTATGTTAAACAAATAATTAAATTGGTATACACTAATTTGGTTTAAAATTTAAAAATTACATATATACAGGAAAAATTGCAAATTAATAACTCTTATAATTTAATTAATTAGACTACTCATGTATATAGTAAAGGACATGACAAAAATTAGGTAATTTTTTAGAGAAAGAAGAGGATAAAAAAAGGTAAAATTATATATAAGAACATGATTTTTTTTATATTAAGAAGGGGAGAGAGTAAGCCTCTGATAAAAAATAATCAGGTAATAAATGATACTGCCCTAAAACCTCCTTAAGTATATTTTTCTTGGGATTATAATAAAAACAAAAAAAAGAAACAAAACATGTATTTATAGAAAGCAAACATATAGCGCTTTTATAAGTTTGGCCAAGCAATACTATGTACTTATAGAGTTTGTATTTGTAGAAGTTTTTTGTATTTACTTTTAAATTTACCTCAATTGCTTTTTCTTGGCTCAATTTTTGTTTTTGAACTGATACTTGTACTGCCTCAAGATACTTATTTTGTTTAGACGAAATAAAAAATTTAATCAGATAGTTTATCTGAATAATTAGATATTTAGCAGGCAAGAGCCCTTTTTGTACAATCAGATTTAATATATAGGCAGAATATGAAATCTATTTTATACCAAGCTTATTGCATACTAACTTCATATTTGCTTGCTATCTGATGTAATTAAGAAAACTTTGCTTTTTATACTTCAATATTCAAGAATGTTCTCAATATATTTCGTGATTGTATTGTCTATATAGGGATAGTAAAAGGAAATAACTGCCAAAATAGCTTTATTTAGCTCAAAATCTTTATTAATCTATGTTGCAGTAATGCCCAAATAACTTTGATATAAATACGCTGTCTATGAATCTACAGTTAACGATATAGTTTCAGTTTTGTGTAAATCATAGTACAGGATAGAACTGATTTGATTAAATCTCTTATCAATTAAACTCTTAACCTTTCTTCTGCTCAGTACAATCTATCGTGAATCTATAATTTTTGCAAATCGTTTAAATATTTTTTCAGTTGATCTTTAGTATAGATGGGCATATATAATTATTATACAATTATAATATATATAAATTAAGTATATTAAACTAATTTAAGTAATTTTATAACTTATTAGGGTTAGGGTTAAGGTTAGAATTTAAATTGGCTCAAATTAGTTAGATTTTATATATTAAAATCTTGTAATAATTTATATATGCCTACCTATACTAAAAGAGATCCATTTTTTCTTCAGTAAAAGATAATGAAGATTTTGTATAAAAATAACCTTAGTAATAGCTTTGTCACAAATAGCCTGTTCAGTTGTATTATACGGTTTTGACAAAAAAATTTCAAACGCCCTTTTAATAGTTGTTTGCTTTTTGTTTGACTTAAAAAAAAAGATTAGATTTATATAGTAGAATTTTAATAATTCTAACTGAAAAAAGCTTACTTGTTCTTTATTTTCAAAATATCTATACACAATCTTTAGTAGTGTTCTGATTCGGGTAACCATCATCCGGGTTACCCGTGGGTGGGCAGGTGACCCGGGTTAAATTATGGCCACTCAGGTGGCAACTCACGGGTTACCCACGGGTCACCCGTAAGTTAACCTGCGGGTTACCTATAAGGTTACCCGTAGGTCAACCTGCGGTTAAACCAAAGTATCTTATTTTTTTTTTACAAATCTATATTAAAATCATTATTGTACATAAATTATTTTTCAATCAGATAAACTATTTGAGTTAATCACCCCGCTGTTCTTTTAAGATTAATAGTTATAAAGTTAATATTGGAACTAAAAACACTCATTGC